CAGGAGGAGGCTGCTGGCAGCACAAGGAAATAACTTTCACAGGAATTTGGAACAAATGCAGCTCTTCTGGCGGTAACAACAGCACTCACCTCCCCCACAACCTCCCCATGTACCAGCATCTCCCCATGTCCCTCTCCCCGCGTGCCCCAGACTCTCCGCGTTGCAGCCTGCTCTCCCAGCAGCGCGACGCGCTCCCTCCCCTCACTGCTCCCCAGCGAGCTCACGGGCATCGCCCCACCGAGCCTCAGGAAGCTTGCCACCATGTTCCTGAGGAGGGGGAGGCCTGCTTCGTGTCTTGCAAAGGTCTGAAAATAAGCTAATGCTAAATCCCTTGTCCCAGGAAAATGAATGCATGTAGTAATGTCCTCCCCACCTCCCGCCACTCTCTTTGGCAGCAAAATCAGTGAGCGTTAGTCCTCTTGCTGTTCCAGTCCCCATGCACGGCTACTCCCCGCGTCCTCCCACAGCTGCCCACTTCAGTAGCATAACCGATGCATCAGGATTATCCATCAAGACTCTCTTTCAGTAACACAGTATAATATGTGGCCTGCTCTAGCCTACAGCACTTCGTGCGGGTCTTCCTATCTGGGGCACAGCCCAAGAGGCTGTCCTGGTGCGGTGCATGCAGCACAGCCAGTCCCACAGAATCATGTATCAGTACTCAAACTTCAAAACTCATCAGACTTGACCTCAAAACTGCGAGATAAGACTACACGTTGGGTGTATTGCTGGTCAGATTTTGACTTCTGATGTTCTTGTTCCCCAGCAATTGTGTGAATGAATGCAAAGGAAATACATGAACCCGGGTTCCAAAAGCATTAATATTGGATCTATGCAAGAATCAATAATCCACCATCTCATCTCATCTTGTTCATATTTCTGTCAAATCAGCCCGTGCTCACAACATGGGGTTTACACAGCTCTCCGTGCTTTATGCTGGCTGCCAGAGCACAGAAAATACTTGATTTAGCATGAAAAGTCAGAAAGGCCCAGAAAGACAACATCTGACCATGCATGCAGCTTGCTTGTACAAAGTCAAATGTTTAAAACAAATTTAAGACATCAGGGTGAATTTATATAAGAACAGCACTTCACATCACGTAACCATAGTATTTGAACGTAGTCCGATGAGCCCTAAAACTTCTATATTATCAACTCATGGCCACAGAGACAACCAGTCAGTAACTATCCCTTGCTCTATTTTCTGCTGGTGTCGTGTTCACTGGTATTTCTCTCTCATCTCAGACTTGAACTGTGAGTTTGCCATTTCCTTCGCTTAGTGCTCGTGCAGAGTCTGCTACTGTGGGTCCTGGCCCATGATAAACACGAGTAATAAATAAAGAAGATGTTATGAAATCCTTTTTTCTTTCTTGGGAGCTCAGGCCAGCAACCTGCTCTGCTCATATCTGTTCATACACCAACCTCAAATACCGACCTGCCAGAGAGGATGGGGTGTGCAAGGGAGCGGGAGACCTGCAGCCATTCTTCAAGTCTCTTCTGGTCACTCACATGGACTCCTCACTTCCCCATTGTTCTGTCCTGCCCACAGAGAGCAGACGACACCATCTGAAAATAGACCTGGTCCTCAAGGGTTTTTTGCTTAGAAACATGGCAGTCTGAGAGAGAATCAAGCCCATTCCGTTCTGTGGTGACCTTGAAGGCTGTCCTGGGTTCTGCACATCATGCTGGCAGGGCCTGCCCATGGCCTAAGCTCTCATGACCATTACGTGGGTCTAGACCAAATCCAGACCTTGACAGAGCCCCCTTTCACCTCCCAAGGCAGGATGGGCCCTGATGCCGAGAAGCCATGGGCAGATGGAGCCAAGCAGGAGTGACTGCACACAGGGGCTGTGGGGCAGCACACCTGATGTGGGTGACCCCGTGGGACACGCTGCTGGCCACTGTGGATCCTGAGGGCACCTCTGAAGCCCTCCTGTTCAGGGCAAGAGGGTGGCTGAGGGGTGGCCACATCGGGCAGCTCCGCTCTGAGACCCGGGTCCCTGACGGCACTCTACCCAGCTCCCCGACCTGGCTCACTCCTGCCGCGGCCCAGTGCCGAGCCGGCAGCCTGGCCAGCCTCCTTTCCCATCCTCTCACGTTTCCCGGCTCGGAGGAAGCAGCAGCAGATGTGTGAGCTGTTTGCTTTGTGCCGAGGCCACGCGGGAGTTACCTGCGCTCAGCCCAGACGCGCCGCTTCCAAATGAAACATGAGGGCTGAGCCAAGACCATCGAAATCTGGCCAAACCCTCGGTTGCTGCCGGCCGCCGGGCCAGCACCATCCCCTGCGCAGAGCGGAGCCGGGCTGGCCCCTGCGCTGCACCGGCCTCGCCGTGGCCAGGCCGCCACGTCATGGCACCGCTTCTCCTTTTTTTTCGCACCAGCCCAGCTTCTCCGCAGGTCCCGGTCTCCTTCCTGCCTGTCCCTGCACTCGCAGTCAGGAGCCCAGCCGCCATCTCCGATTGCATTTCCAGAATGCCTTCCCACACGGCAAGCGGCACTAAGCAGGAAAGCACGGAGAAGGAGAGAGAGAGGGGGGCCTCCCTTCAGGGGCTGCCGCAGCCGAGACATCCCTACGCACGCCTAGGGCCTCCACGCTCACCCAGGGACATGTGGCTCCTCCACTCCGACCCTGTCCCTGGATCGACCCTCACCCTTGACCCCTCCCCATCTCTGTCTCCAGCCCTGGTCCAGTCCCTGTCCCCATCCTCACCCACCTGGGGCAGTATGGAATGTTGCCCTGCACAGACCATTCCCAAATCTTCCCCCACCCAGATCTTCCTCCTCATCTTCCACCCACTTCTTCTGCCCAGACTCACCCCCATGTGCCATCCTGACCCATCCTCCACTCCCCTCAGATCTGCCCCATTCCAAACTTGTGCCTGCCCCATGTCCCCTCTCTATTCTACACCTGGCCCCTGCTCCCACCCAGTTCCTCCTTCCCCACACACTCCTATCCCTTCATGTCCTGCACTCACCCACCCCATGAGCCCCTCTCCAGCACTCCCATCCCATACGTCCCATCAGTCCCTATCACACACCCTCCATGCCCCAGCAGTCCCCCCACAACACACCCATAGCCCAGTTTTTCTCACCAGCTCCACTTCCTCTTCCAGGACCATCTGGAGGCCCTTTTCCCTGGCCAGGCTGCTGGACCTCCTCCTGCCTTGTCTCATGGGCCCCGGAATTCCAGCTCGCCCTCGCCCCCTCCACGGGCACTGCTCACCACCCAGCCCCACAGCCCTCCGCGGCCCCGGCCAGACATCCTGGTGCCCCACGACTCCATCCTCCACGCTTCACAGACACGTGTCCTGATGGGCC